ACGACAGAGATTGTTGCATTCGGGAACCCGCGCTCCGGGCGTCAATTAAGCACCTAACGCAAGTAACAGCAGAAGAGGGAGGAATGGAAAAGAGAGCGAAGTTCGGAGTGCGGTCCCAGCTGGTTTGGCGACGACACAGCGCGGCATGCAGCGGTCCACGGCCCCGGAAGGCGAGCCAGTCTCTCGGAAACTGTGACGCTGACCGGCCGCCCGGCTTAATTAATCTAATGAGCCGCCGATGATGCGCGAAGATTCGCGTTTCACGCCGTCATGGAGAGCCCAGCAACGACGAAGGCGTCACGTCGTGAGGACGCCAGGTCGCCTCGGTTGCGTGTCCCCTCGGAAGGCCCGCCTCGCCAGGAGGCGCAGGAGTATGACCGCTCCGAAAACTTTTGTAAGCGTCGCTCTACAGTCACTAAACAAAGTATACGCGCAGAAAATCGGCACTCCGTTCCTCGATTTCAGTTGTGGGCGCCGCCATTCTGGTTCTTCGTGCAGCGCGGTCAAATTTGGCAATCGTCACAGTTTAAAAATGCTCTTTTTTTTTTTTTAGTTTGTCTAACAGTGACAGAGTGCGGGTAATGACGCTTGGCTTTCTCGCGGAGTGTTTCGCCGTTTCTGAAAGACGGAGAACAGTTTCCTGAGAGTTTAGATAAAGCTTCAGATGGCTGGGCAACCATAATTTGAAACACCAAAATGGAGCAATAATTTTGCTTTCTATGCTAGATGGCGCAAGATACCGCCCGTTATACAGGGTACGGTAGAGCCATTAGCATCCATCCATCCACGGGCGAAGTGTAGCTACACTGAGGCGTAGCGTATTCAGTGGACTTATATGTCGTCCGAGAAGGAAACGTGACGACGCCGATGCCGTCGTAATACCGAACCGAACATTTGCTAACTTACTTTTGTGCCATGACATTCTGCACCACGGTAAAACTCATAGCAATCCGAGAAAAGTGAATGATGGTGGAGATGAATGCTTCCTTGTCTGGAACGAAACTAGTCAAAAGCTTACATCACCAATACACTCGCGTCGATTAAAGGGGCGGTGCAACGATTTTCGGACTTCGGTCAAAGATTTCTGGAAGTTGCCCCCTGACACTTCTGAAGTAAAGAACAGAAAACCGATTTCGCCTGCGTGTCCTAGTTTTTGCGTAAAAAAAAGATAAAGATTGGTATTTCGGGCACCCCTCAACTCACTCCCAGTCTTCAGGGTCACACCTGGTCGCACTCCCAGTGACGTCCTTCGGAGTGCCGTGTAGCTTTCCGTGTGCTATCTCGGAGGACGCTTCCCCTCCCTCTCTCTGCACACATTAGCGGGCGCTATGCTGCAGCTTAGAGCCGAGCGAGGTCACGTAATCTTTCCGCCGTAGTTCCTTCGGCTGCCACTTGGGGCTGCAGGTGGGGGAAAAAGCTCGACTTTTGCTTTGCGATTATGCAGCGGAATCGCGACTTTTTTAATGAAGGAAGTGTTTTCTCTATACTCTGGGACACGATAAACAACGTAAAAATGACGAGATGCAAATTCTTTTAATCATAAAATCGTTGCACCGCCCCTTTAAGTTTGCCATCAGGTTTGGAGTCACATCTTGTATCATACGTGGTCACAAACAGCAATGTTCGCTGTGCCGTGATCACCTACGATGTCTAAAATTGGTGGTAAAAAAAGGGATTTCAACAGTTTTCCTCGACAATATTGAGTGACCTGCCTTAATAAATAAACCCATGCACTAACAATTTGTTTAGAAGTAAAACATACTTTGACCACCTCCTTCCGGCTCTGTCATTTTAAAGAAACGAAGCGAATTTCGAGTAAGTTGGCGATGGCTAGTTGTCGACGATATGTTCCCATTGACGACAAAGAAAAGCATCGCTCGGGCGCCATTTTCTTGAGTTCGGACACCGGCCCATTGTATTCACTCGTGAGAAGTTCTGCCACGATAACTTGACTCTGTCCCCGCGCTCGATGATTGTTCTAGAATCATTTGACGAGTGATGGAAAGAAAAGGGTTGCTCCTCGTTGCCTGAACACAACGTCCCCCCCCCATCCCCCCTCTCCTCCGAAAAAAAAAAAAAAGATTTTTTTTGTTATTATTTTTTTTATTTACGAAAACATACCGTGGCTTCCCCTGGTCTTTCTCCCAATCGCACAAAATTTCCTTCCGAGTTCCTTTAAACCTTCAACTGGGGATATTTCAAATAGCAGTTTAAGGCATAACTTGCACAACAATATCTATTTTTCATATATATTTTGAAGACAAAAAAAGAAAAATGCGAGACACCCTGAGAAATCGGACTTATGCAAATACTGCCCCCCATCATGTAAGGTTACTTTAATTTGAAAAAAAAAATCTCGCTCTCATTCCTTCTTTTGCTTTTTCTCTTTGTGATGGACTTGCTCCACTACTGTGAAACAGCAAAGATTAGCAATGGAAAAGGGTGGTTAAAAAAAATAAGTGGGAATGAGTGCAAAAAAAAAAAAAAACACCTTTTACTTTTCACTGGTTTCAACTAATGTTAAGTATTCCCAGCTCGCGCTTTATGAAAGTTATTAATGCAAATATTTTTTTTTTTTAAACATGCGGTACTGTTTAATTGATCTTTCCTTCCTGGAGGCGATAGATGATCTGATAAGACGGGAGGTGTCGTGGTTTAACGTTTCGTCGGCGATCCCGTTCCGAGTGATTGGACAGCGCCGGGTTGTATGGATGCCGACGACGAGTTGTTGAAAGATGCGAGACCAGCCGTTCCACTGGGAAACCGGACTTCTAACAGTCAACTCGCTTGCATGTTTACGCCTGAAACAGGCGTAAACATTCAAGCGAGTTGACTTTTAGAAGCCTGTTTCCCAGCATAACTACTTGTCTCGCATATTTTTTTTTTTCTTTTGCCTGTCTCTAAGTAAAACTAGCTAGTTCGACCGCGTTGTTAAATGAATACGCAAAAAAAAAAGAAGGATAAAAACGTTAAAGACGCACATGGATGACCACACTCTTCCGATTAGCAACGACGTTTTCATCGTTGCTGACGTCGTTGCCAATTGAAAGAGGGTGGCCGCTCGTGTACATCTTTAATGTTTTTCTTCTTTGGTTTTTGAGTATTTTAGATAAAGGTAATGCATTCCGCAGCACGCTCGCATCAATTCAATATACCTGAGGAATAGTGTGGGTTTGGAGTTTGTTACCTTGACCCCTTCTTTTCGACCCTGCATCAAGAAACGAAATGAGGTAAAAGAAACTATAATCGAAAGTCCAAATTTCATTGGAGGATCTTTTTTATTTTTGTTCTTAATTACTGAACCGAACACCACGCCTTCAATATGTAACACCCGTTTCTAAGAACAAAAGAACATAAAAAAGAAAGATTGCGTAAATAATATAATAAAAGCAATTTTTACCAGACTACGATTTATTCGAACAAAGAGTGTCCATAGAAGAACATGTGATTTCCATATCTCGATATGCGTGATACCGGCGAACAGTCGCGTAATCACTACAACGTGACGCAGGTTAAGTAACTCAGGCCAGCGTCATACTGCACTTGCCAGAGCTCCCGTCTATAACCGAGACACCCAAAGCCGTTTTAAAGTGGACTAACTTCTCGCTGTCTAGCGAGTAAAGATCCATAAACAACCATTATCATTTGTTTTTTCGTATTTTCACTTTGCTTGCAGTTGATAATAAGTCATAAATCAGCAAGCGCCGAGTACGTTCCGACTAAGTCGATTTCGATATACGCTGTTAACGGTCCGGTTCCCCTACCAGCACGAGGGCCAGACTCGCGTTTCCAGTCCCACTTGACGCTAACGCGAGATACTGCGTTCCCCCCCCCCCCCCCCCCCCCCCAAGCTGACAGTGCGGTGGGAGTTACACGGTCTCCGGACCATTAACCGCTTGCCTTTCATCGCCTGACTCTGCTCTCGCGCGAGCATGGGGGGTAAAGAAGGGAGCAGAATCACATAAAGAAAGATAAATTATCTTTCACTAGGCACCGACAGTGCGCCCTAAACTGCGGTAACACGCGCCGTCGAACTTGTTTCGATCAGAATGCGCACCGCGCAGACATGTACTATCGGGGAAAAATGAAATGCGAACAGAGGAGCGCGTGGCTCGCGGTACAGGCTGCGCCACCTGGAAGTGAGCCTAGGGGCGAGAGTGCGTGGCCTACTCCGATGTGTTCACGCCCTTCACTCAGCGCTGCCCAAGCTTCGGCAGCGCGCCTCTTAGTACGCTGAAAGCTATCACCGCTATCTTTGCTGGCTCAGCGCGTGCGGTGCGAAGAAGCTCGCCGCACGCGCCGAGCGAGCAAAGACAGCGGTGATAGCTTTCAGCGCACTGAGAGGCGCACTGCCGAAGCTTGGGGAGCGCAGAGCGAAGGGCGTGAACACATCGGAGTAGGCCACGCATCCTCGCACCTAGGCTCACCTCCAGGTGGCGCAGCCTGTACCGCGAGCCACGCGCTCCTCTGTTCGCATTTCATTTTTCCCCGATAGTACGTACAATCTCGGGTTCGAATGAAATGCGAAGAGTGACAGAACTTCTAGAGCAACACGGGCGCGGCGTGGAAGCTTGAGTTGTGTTGGGCGCGGTTCAAACACACCGGTGTAGGACGCGCACCCTCCCAGCGCTTTACTCTCGTCCCCGCAGTTTTATCAGTTTCCAGATGCCTCCAGGAGGCGCAGCACCTGTCGAAGGTCATGGGATCCACTGTTCGCATTTCATTCGAACCCGATGTACTTCGCCTATACTGAAAGGCATATGCTCCATGGATTCTTTTCTGTTCCCACCCCGGCAGCTTGTCTTCGCGAAGACGCTTTACAGCAGCTGTGCATGGGCGCCGCCATAACTGACCTTCAGTCTTTGTTTCCTCTTAATCCGTCCGCTTCACTTCATCATTACCACAGCAGGACAAGTTATTGCCATTTTAGATGCTACTGTGTTCTTGTGCCCAGCATAGGCCCTTGTGAAGACCCGTCAACGCCCGCTTCAGTGGCTCGGTATTTCGGTAAGACAAGAGAAGGGCGGCTATGGCGGCTCAATCTGGCGCGTGTGTAAAGCGTCTATACCGCCATCATATCATTCCGGGACAAACCAGCCATGAAAATCGGCTGGGTTCGCCGAGGGCGTCTCGAACTCGGCTCTGGCAATTTCCTCAAAGCTCCGGCCGTCCAAGGCCACGAACGACAGCTTGTTCTCGTCCTCGGCGTCCAGCAACGAAATGACGACGACACCGTCGTCCTCGTCGGTTGCGCCAGGCCGCGGGACGAACACGGGCTCCGAAGGCACCCAGCCGGGCCTTTTCCAGCGCGCCCAGCGCCCAGACTCCACGTTCAACTTGGACACAAACCACTCCTCCGCAAGTCCGTCCGAGTGACCGACGAGGTACGCGAACCGATAAGGCTTCCCGATGAAGCGGTCGTTGATCCTGGGCAGCTCGGCGCGGAGCGCGAGTCCATCGAGTTCTGCCGACAAGACGCGCGATTCCACAGGTGCCGGAGACTTGACAGCCGGATCCAGCGGCAGCACAAAACGGCGGACACTGGCTAACCCGTCGTTCTTCTTAGGTCTGGGATGAGCAAAACGCAAGTTTCGGATCAACGCGTCGTCGTCCAACGCGCAGAGGTCCACGACAATCTCCCGGTCCCGCTCGTAGGCATTCACATGGTGAAACGTGAAGAAAGGAGCCGCCTCGAAGACGACAGGGAACAATTCGCCGGTCCTCTTGTCCATCACGTGGAATCTAGTCTTCTTGTTCGGATCGAACCAGAGGGTGTCCCCGTAGCTCGTACCGACCGCCTTCGCCAGGAAGAGCTTGAGAATACTGACGACGAGGGACTGCTCCAGGACGACTAACCAGTTCTCGGTCATGGCGAAGCTGTGGATGTAACTCGGGAAGAACCGGGACAGCATCGGGATCCTGCCCACCACCTTTCCCTCACGCAACGACGTGGACCCGTCGGGGCACTCGATGGAAGGCGGGAACCGAATCAGAACGAAGGCCGGACGCGACCCCATCTGCGTCCCGACGTTGAAGGTGGAGCCGTCCTCAGGATCGACGAGGGGATGGGCCGTGGTGATATGGACGGCAACCAGCTTGCTCAAGTCTTCGCGGCTCAGCGTCTCCAGAGTTGCGGGGTCAACTCTGTGCACGTAGGGGGTCTCCGTCATGGCGTAGAACTCGTCTCCAATCGGCATCACGTTCACCAACGCGTTGTCGGTCATGCTGGGCGTGAACACGGAGGCCAGCCTCTCAAAGACGCCGGCACAGGGGTCCGGATGAGCGGCCGTTCCGAACTCGGCCACCACGATGCGGTTGGCTTTCCGGTTGCGCACGTAGGCCTGACTGCGCAGGAACCGGTTCCGGTAGCTGACCTCCCCGCTGTCCACGCTGAACTGCCGGAGCAGCGACAGGCCGTCGAAGGCGTGCTGGTAGCGGTCCGGACCGACGAAGTTGAGACCCGGCCCGTTCCGCAGAAGGCGGCCACGGAGCCAGGAGGGGAAGACGCCCGTCACCCGACCGCGCAGGGGCTCCTCCACCTCCTCGAGGCAGGAGCGACCGTACAGGTCGGTTAAGAGCCACGGCGAGTCCTTCGCATCGGTCTGGTCTGCGTCACCTTCCATCGCTGTTTACGTTCCGAGTCGGGTGCTGCGAGCGACGTCGTTCGAGCGTACGCTGCCTAAGGCCTTGGAGAAGGAGGGGGAACACGAAGGAGACGACAGAGCGTGCGCCGTCTTCAAAGCCAATAGGAGTGGTACTGGCGAGCTGCAGGAGCGGGGTACGATAAAGTTCTTTGAATCGAGAACAATGAAGCGACATTGCTCAGATCACGAGAAGTCTCAAAGCAGCCTTGATATCCCGCCAACCGATAGCGACAACGGGCTCTAATCTGGACACTTGGGAAACAGTCGGCGAGGAATTCGGCCGCCGTGACTGGATGGCGCCAAGGTCAAGCGCGGCGCCGGCCAATCACTGCCGCCGGATTCCTCGCCGACTTTCGCGAAGTGGCCAGATTAGAGAATCTGAACGAGGTTCATATCTCGCGGTGTTGTTGCCCTCTTGTACCGACTCGTTTGTTTGCCGCAGGCTGCGTCTACATTTAGCTGAGGAGTTTCGAAAACATCATTGGGCCCCTATAAACGATCGTGACGCATACTCTCCGGTTATTCAACCGCGTTTTCAAAAAACCACTTCTCAATCCATCGCACGACGAGTTTGCACGACTGCTAAATTTCGAACGCGAGTGAGAAGTCAGCTAACCGGGACGAGTAAAGGGGACCGTAGTCATTTAACGAAGAAACGTTTCTGTGCGGCCTTGTTTACACACCATACCGCAGCGTACTATTAGCCCCGAACGCGACCGATTGGGGAGCTGCGATCACTCGATGGTGACGTAGGAGACCAGTATCACTTGACGGGGGCCAGGTATTTTCTCCGCTTTGCTTTGGTCGTGGCATTTAACGCGCAGAAGCAGAAAGTGTCTGCCAAGTATATTTTGCTTCTGCTATGACGCAAAACGTGCGTACGACGAAACCTACAAAACCTAAAAAAAAAATAAGGTACGTTACAATGGAATCCTATGCGATAGTTTCATGGCCGTCAGCACCACTCGGATACTTTGCCATGGAGACCAAGGAGCATACTCCTACGTGCTTTTCGCGTGCTTCCCGACTTAAACAGAAAAAAAAAAGAACACGTATTTGAAATTACAATTATCGGCGAAGGCCTCTTGATCTACGGATTCCGGAAGCAACGACAAAAATCCCAACGACTAGAGCTGCAGCAACCGTACCAACAGGCAAGCCCTACCAAAGGCTCTGCATGGTCAGTCGCTCCAACGACCGGCTGTGTCGGCTTTCTGTTCCATGTGTGCGACCTGTATCTTCCAGAGCAGCTGGGTGTGCTGATAAAAATAACATATCTTTGAGTGACCTGTTCCTTAGGCCTCTTTGTCCGTCCGGCTTCAGAAGCATCCAGTGAGCGAAAAAGACGCCGGAGACGCCGTGCCTCTGCCCGTGATTTCTCAACGGCGGCGGATGTTCGTTCCGCGCGTTCGTGGTTTTCGCTAAGCGTGCTACTGACAGTGTGCAAGTGTGTCCGTGTGGTGCACCTGCTCGATTTTATTAGTTGAACTACCGTACATTTAGGAATTGACCCAGCCAGCGGTATTGTGAGTACTTTGAAAGATATATTTTGCGACAAAGAACTCGGTTGTTCCTATTTGGTCTGATTGCTTTTGTCTAGAGCTGTGCAAATTGTTTCACTGGTACCGACTCTACGAAATAAAGACATGGAACTTTCAGGTCTCTATGGACTAACCGTTTTAATTGTTACCGAATCGCCCAGCATCTGGTAAACATACACCACCACGGTTTACAGGCTTCCAAAAAACCTTCCGTGGACGTCCAAAAAAAAAAACACGGTAAGTTCCGGCGAATTGCGGCAAATCCGGTGACTTCCGGTTAATTCCGGCTTTACTGGAAGTGAAAAGAGTCCATAAACCAGGAAAAATAATTTTTTACTAGAAATAAAAATCCGCTAAAAAACTTTTTTTTTTTTTTTTTTTCAATAGTGTTGCCACAGTGAATATACATGTCGTGAATGATAAAGGTCGAGAGGTTTCAGGTTCATATTCCTAATAATCAATGTGTTAAGTAAACCTGACTAACCTTTACATGCCATAATTAGTACTATGAGAGCCCACCTGCCAACTTTCGTCGCGACCGGTGGGAGGCTCGAAATATTTCTGGTCAGCATTGCAAGACCCAGCAGAAATTGAGAGCCTCTATCTTGCTCCCTTTTCAAACAACGAAGACGCGTTTGAAGCCGACACTTCACTCTATCAACACAGATGCTAAGCGGGGCAATGAGCCAATTTTTATTAGAATGGCCAATGTCTAGCTTTAATTATGACCTCGTCCCGCTAAGACAACAAAAAAGAAAAGAAAGAAAAGAAAAAAAAAGCTTCTGATATATACAATATATTTTAGCATATGTGTGCGAGTTTTATCCTTCAACCGCATAAACTTTTCTGGACTGTTGTACCCCATGACAATAAATAATTAAAGCCGCCACTTGAAAATCGCTGCTCTCACGAACGTTTGTCTGAGGAGAGTTTTAGCCAAAAAAATAGAGACGCTCTCTTTTGAATGCTTTGATACTGAGAGTGATTAAAAAACGCCACACACGACAATCGTCAAAACCTCGTCCTTCTTTCCCGCTTCTTTGAGATTTTTTTTTTTTCTCGGAAACTAAACATGTCAGGACAATAAAATAAAAAGGATTGTTCTTCTTGGAACATGCGCCACAAAATATAAAAATACGACTGCACCTCGTTGCCTGAATCCAAATGAAACCGCTCATATATATATATATATATATATATATATATATATATATATATATATATATATATATATATATATATATATATAGGGTGTTTTTTTTTGTTTGTTTTTTCTTGCACATTTGTTAAAAAAAAGAAACGTGAAAGCTACACTAATGCGGTCTGTGCAGGTGGGTTATACGGCCAAGCGGACATTATGTAGGTGGCTAATCTTCCAGATAAGCCGGCTAATTAATTAAAAATCGTTAATTAACTTTTTTAATTAGTGAACACACAGATTGTTCCAATTAGAAACTTGCTAAGCACCATCGAAAACCACCAAATCAACTATTTTTAGCAGGATATAACGCCAGGGCAGCATTTTACCGCTTTCTCTAAAAACGCTTCATTTGGACGCGTTTCTAAATTTCGGTTTCCTATCTGAGCGCATCTTTGCGCCCGCGACCCTGCTCCCCGGTGGTCGCGGCGCGAAGCCACCTCCTCGCCTCCCTTGTAGAATGGAGGGAAGTAGGGGGCACGTGTGTTGCGCGTCTCAGCCACTGGGGAGCAGGACCGCGGGCGCGTAGATACTGCCCCATCATGTAAGGTTACCTCAATTAGGGAGAATAAAAACACTCTCTGTCTCTATCTGTGATGGACTGGCTCCATCGGATAGTGAAGTCAGCTGCGATCGGATTTACTGTAAAACAAAATAAAGAAAAGTAGTAAAAAGAAAGAGGTAAAAAAAAACCTTAAATCTTTTTTTGTTTTGTTTTATTTTGTTTCGCCTAATGTTATGAAATCCCAGGTCGCGCTTTGGCAAAGTTACTGATGCAGATGAGAGGCTTCTTTTTTTTCTCTCTCTCTCTCTCTCATTTAATTATTTATATACTTTTTTTTTTAAATGCGGTATGTTTTGGCCATTTTTCCTTCCGTGAGGGGATATATCTGATACGACGGGAGGTGTCGTGGTTTAACGTTTCACCCGCGATCCTGTTCCAAGTGATTCGACAGCGCCGGGTTGAATAGGTGCTGACGACGAGCTGTTGAAAGGCGGAGACCAGCCGTTCCACCGGGAAACCGGCTTCTACTAGTCAACTCGCTTGTTTACGCCTGTGTCTTTGTTTTTTTTTTGTTTTTGTTTTTTTTTTTGCCTGTTTTTAGGTGGAGTTAGTTAATTCGAGCACATTGTTATAATGAATACTTAAAGGGGAGGTACAATGATTTCCGGACTTCGGTCAAACATTTGTGGAAGTTGCCTTCTGACCATTCTAAAATAAAGAACAGGAAACATATTTCGCCTGCTTGTCCTAGTTGTGTAAAAAATATTGGCATTTCTGGCACCCCTCAACTCACTCCCACTGTCTTCAGGACCACACCAGGTCCCCCTCCTAGTGACGTCATTCAGGGTGCCGTGTAGCTTCCCGTATGCTCTCTCGGAGGACGCTTCTTCTCCCTCTCTCTGCTGACTTTAGCGGGCGTTATCCTGCAGCTTAGAGCCGAGCAAGGTCACGTTATCTTTTCGCCGTAGTTCCTTTGGCCGCCACTTGGGGCTGCTGGTGGGGGAAAGAGCTCGACTTTTGCTTTGCGATTATGCAGAGGAATCGCGACATTTTTGAATGAAGGAGATGTTTTCTCTATCCTCCGGGACACGACAAACAACGTAAAAATGACGAGATGCAAATTATTTTAATCTTGAAATCGCTGCACCCCCCCCCCCCCCTTTTTCTTTTTTTTTTTAAGACGAAAGAATGAAAGCGTTAAAGACGTACATGGACCACCACACTCTTACAATCGGCAACGACGTTTTCATCACAGCTGACAGCGTTGACAATTGAAAGAGTGTGATCGTCCGTGCACGTGTTTAATGTTTTTATTCTTGCGTTTTTAAGTAAGTATTTTAGGTAAAGGTAATGCACTCCCAGCCGGCTCGCACCAATACAGTATATTTGAGGAATAGTGTGGGTTTGGAGTTTGTTACCTTCACCCCTTCTTTCCGACTCTATCGAGAAACGAAATGAGGAAACTATAACCGAAAGTCCAAAGTTCCTTGGATGCTGTTTTTATGTTTGTTCTTAAAGGGATTGTCCGGTCAAATTTTGTATTCGAGAAAACAATTGAATATCATTGTTATTGCCTTGAGAAGCATCGTACGTGCAATATCCGAATTTTATATGCCCCTCTGCGTGAGTAATTGAATTTATACTGCTCCAATCGCATTCTAGCGTAAACGCTGCTTTCGTAGGCAACATTGAAGCTCTGACGTCACAAAACACAAAGCGAGCATTTTTGTCTCGTTGTTTGCCTGCGAGTAAACGCCAGAGCGTGCTTCGTTTTTGTTGTTGTGCGCGACTTGTTTCGTGGCTGCGTGAGATTTGTGTTGCGCGGTTGGTTGCCACAACCACCGGGCAGCACATGCGAGCCAAGACATGACGTTCCACACTTTTCCGCGAGACGTGCAGTGACGAGCAAAGTGGATCGCCGTCGTGCGTAGGGACTGGGTTCCCGTCCAGCTAGATATGCTGCTTATGCAGCAATCATCTCACAGAAGAAAGCTACGAGCTGAGCTCTCAGCGGACAGAAGGCTTGTAAGCTGAGGTGTGATGCTGTGCCAACGATATTAAACTACGTCCACCCACTCTTCGCCCAAATCGGATCAGTCAATATAGGTCTGTTCGATTCGCATGAACTAGCTGACCTAGTTCGGCAGTGCAGGAACTGGTGAATTCAATTCAACCGGAGGTTGCACGACCGCTGCACTGGCGCGTTCGATTCATCCCAGTTCTGAACGAGTTCAGACCCAGTTCCTCAAAATCTTGCACCGGCTCTGGACTCGGTTCAGCGTCCGTGCAGAAGCAGACGACAAGAGCAGACGGCGATAGCAGAACTCCTCGTCCGTCTCTGCTCGCGGTGCCATTTTTCACAGCGATTGCTCAAATGTCTGCGATGTTTAACAATAACGCCGATACGGAGGTTGCATTTCCTTTCATTTATAAAATAACGTACCCGCGGTGGACGCGGAATTGAGATCATAACCGAGGGTAGGAATTTGCTTGATTATGATATTCTAAAAGCGTTTTAGGCACCTGCTCGCGTAGATTTGGCTCCCTGTGGTGAGTGTCGAAATATTGGCTCATGTAAATTGTTTCATTTTGATGCTATGCGGGGATCCACAGTGTTGATATTCTTACTTACAGACACGGGAAAGGTATTGCCTTCTTGATGGTCTCCGCCTTCAGTTGCTCTTGGATGCATATTGACGACTCCGATACATTGCAGAGGTCTGGGATTTAGTGCGTTGGCACTTGCATGTCGCCGTAGCTGAGCATAATACTGCATGCCTTGTCCGCTGGTATCTGTGGACGCCCACTAACGGGCCTGGGAAAAACACCGAGAATCGGCATTTTTTTTTTTTTTTTTTTTTTTTTGCCGATTCTCGTTTTAGTTTCACGCCAAAGTTACGGTCGATAATTGTCTTGGCCAAGACGCTATCGTCAGGCCTTCGTCTTCGAGGTGACCGGCATACCGACCGCGCGCTGCCGCCAGTGACTCCCCCGACGCAAAATGATCCTGATGCTGCGAACCTATCGTCGAAATGCAAAGATTCCCCTTGAGGGGCATTTGCCGCTACCTTCTTGACTTCTAACCGACTATAGTTCAGAACTTCCTGGCCGAATCGAACAGACCTTGATTATGCAGCGAAACCGAAACCAACAGTTTGGCCATCTCAAAATGATACCAGAAGTTGTATTCAGCACGCGTGCAGCCCGATATCTGTTTGACCCGCGTGTGAAAATGGAGCGTAGCTATGATTCACCAAACTCGTCCAAGTCAAGTGACGACATGCATTTGAACGGTTCGCCGTTTGCCTTCGACCCGCGGACGTCGCCTCTGAGGGAATGACCCTCAGCCTCATCACCGATCCAGTGGATCCGCCGAAATGTGTACCCAGATGCCGCTTCGTGTACCTAAGTGCCGCTTCAGAGGCGAAAACTGCATCCTTTGCTTTGCAAGCGCCCCTAGTTGGATCGGCGTCCGTCGCAGTTACGTTTGCGCGAAACGGCATACGTTTCCTCGAAGCTTATGGCTGTCTGCGAGTAATATCCTGCTAAAAGGCGTGCCTTTTTCTGCACGTGCTTGGGAACTGCATTAAAAGAACCGTATTTCAGTAGGGTACTGCCTAGGAGACTATATAATTCGAAACAAAATACAAGACATCCATCGACCAACGCTTGTTATCCCAAACATCCGACAAACCTTTGCGTTTTGTGACGTCACGCAGCACCTACGGATGTCAGCCATTGACACTCGCGAAATTCTGGGTGCAGTTTCGTACGTAGGATCATGAAAGGTTTAATTAATAACGGGAGATCATATATCAAAATAAAAATGACGTTTGTCTATATGAAGGCTCCCTCGACGGAACGAGCGCAAGAACTTAAGTACTTCCGGTTTCGACCGGACAATCCCTTTAATTACTAAACCGAACACCACGCCTTCAATACGTAACGCCCGTTTCTGAAAACCAAAGAAGGTAAAAAACGAAATATTGCGTAGGTAATATAATAAAGACAGATTTTTACCAGACTACGATTAATTCAAACGAAGGGAGTCTCCATAGAAGAACATCAGATTTCCATACTTTGATGGGCGTCGTAGCGACAAGCCGTCGCGTAATGACAACAACGCGATGCACGCTACGTAACCCAGGTCAGCGTCACACTGGACCGGCCACAGCTCCCTTCTATGGCGGAAACACCCAGAAGCAATTTCAAAGTAGACAAACTTCTCGCTATCTAGCAACTAAAGATCCATATGCAACCATTATCATTTGCTTTTTCGCATTTTCAGTTTGCTGCAGTTGATTTAGGTCATAAATCAGCAAACCCGCGAGTATGTTCCGACTAAGTTGATTTCGACATATGCTGTCCACTTTCTGGTTCCCCTACCAGCACGAGAGCCAGACTCGCGTTTCCAGTCCCACTTGACGCTAATGCTTTAGATACTGCGTTCACCCCCAAGCTGACAGTGCGGTGGGAGTGTAACACGCCCGCCGGACCTATTAACCCCTTGCCTCTAATCACCTAACTCTCCTCTTGCACGTGGATAGGGGAGAGAGCGGAAATACCTGGAGAAAAATAAATTATATTTTTCTATGCATCGAATGCGAGTCCTGAACTGCGGTAACCCGCGCCGTCGAAGCCGTTTAGATCAGAAGGTGCAGACACGTACGTACACTATCGGGTTCGAATGAAATGCGAAGAATGACGGAACTTGCAGCGCAACACGGGCGCAGCGTGGAAGCTTCGGCTGTGCTGGCCGAGGTTCAAACATATCGGAGTATAGGACGCACACTTTCGCAGCGCTTTACTCTCCTCCCCGCAGTTTAATCAGCTTTCAGATGACTCCAGGAGGCGCAGCATCTGTCGACGGTCACAGGATTCACTGTTCGCATTTCATTCGAACCCGATGTACTTCGCATATACTGAAAGGCGTACGCTCCGTGGATTCTTTTCTGATCCCACCCAGGCAGTTTGCCTTCAGAGGAAGAATCAGCATATACCGCCGTCACATCATTCCGAGACGAACCAGCCATGAAAATCGGCTGGGTTCGCCGAGGGCGTCTCGAACTCGGCTCTGGCAATTTCCTCGAAGTTCCGGGCGTCCAAGGCCACGAACGACAGCTTTTTTTCGTCCTTGGCGTCCAGCAGCGAAAAGACGACGACGCCGTCGTCCTCGTCGGTCGCGCCAGGCCGCGGGACGAACACGGGCTCCGAAGGCAAAAAGCCGGGCCTCTTCCACTGTACCCAGCGCCCAGACTCCACGTTCAACTTGGTCACGAACCACTCTTCCGGGAGTCCGTCCGGATGACCGATGAAGTACGCGAACCGATAAGGCTTCCCGTTGAAGCGGTCGTTGATCCTGGGCAGGTCGGCGCGGAGCGCGAGTCCATCGAGTTCCAAGGACAAGACGCGCGATTGCACAAGCGCCGGAGACTTCATAGTCGGGTCCAGCGGCAGCACAAAATGATGGACGCTGGCTAACTCGTCGTTCTTCTTAGGCCTGGAATGGGCAAAACGCAAGTTTCGGATCACCGCGTCGTCGTGGAACGCGCAGAGGTCCACGACAATCTCCCGGTCCCGCTCGTAGGCATTCACGTGGTGAAACGTGAAGAAGGAAGCCGCTTCGAAGACGACCGGGAACAATTCGCCGGTCCTCTTGTCCATCACGTGGAATCTGGTCTTCTTGCTGGGATCGAACGACAGGGTGTCCCCGTAGCTCGAACCGACCACCGTCGCTAGGAGGAGCTTGGGAACGCTGAGGACGAGGGACTGCTCCAGGACGACTAACCAGTTCTCGGTCATGGCGAAGCTGTGGATGTAACTCGGGAAGAAGCGGGACTGCATCGGGATCCTGCCCACCACCTTTCCCTCGCGCAACGACGTGGAGCCGTCTGGGCACTCGACAGAAGGCGGGAACCGAATCAGAACGAAGGCCGGACGCGACCCCATCTGCGTCCCGACGTTGAAGGTGGAGCCGTCCTCAGGATCGACGTGGGGATGGGCCGTAATCGTGTGGACGGCTACCAGTTTTCTCAGGTCTTCGCGGCTCAGCGTCCCCAGAGTTGCAGGGTCGACTCGGTGTACGTAGGGGGTCTCCGTCATGGCGTAGAACTCGTCTCCAATCGGCATCACGCTCACCACCGCGTTGTCGGTCATGGTGGGTGTGAACACGGAGGCCAGCCTCTCAAAGACGCCGGCGCAGGGGTCCGGATGAGCGGCCGTTCCGAACTCGGCCACCACGATGCGGTTGGCTTTCCGGTTGCGCACGTAGGCCTGACTGCGCAGGAACCGGTTCCGGTAGCTGACCTCCCCGCTGTCCACGCTGAACTGCCGGAGCAGCGACAGGCCGTCGAAGGCGTGCTGGTAGCGGTCCGGACCGACGAAGTTGAGACCCGGCCCGTTGCGCAGAAGGCGGCCGCGGAGCCAGGAGGGGAAGACGCCCGTCACCCGACCGCGCAGGGGCTCCTCCACCTCCTCGAGGCAGGAGCGACCACACAGGTCAGTGAAGAGCCACGACGAGTCCTTCGCAACGGTCCGGTCTGCGTCACCTTCCATCGCTGCTAACGTTCTGAGTCGGGTGCTGCGAGCGACGTCGTTCGAGCGTACGCCGCCCAAGTCCTTGGAAAAGGAGGGGGAACACGAAGGAGACAACAGAGCGTGCGTCGTCTTCAAAGCCAATAGGAGTGGTACTGGCGAGCTGCAGGAGCGGGGTACGATAAAGTTCCTTGAATCGAGAACAATGAAGCGACATTGCTCAGATCACGAGAAGTCTCAAAGGAGCCTTGATATCCCATTAACCGATAGCGACAAGAGGCTCTAATCTGGACACTTGCGAAACAGTCGACGAGAAATTCGACCACCGTGGAAGGTCAAGCGCGGCGCCGGCCAATCACTGCCGCCGGGTTCCTCGTCGACGTGTCCAGATTAGAGAACTTGAACGAGGTTCCAAACTCGCCGTGTTGTTGTCCTCTTGTGACGACTAGAGATGTAAAGGTGTTGAAAAAAAAAAAAAACGGAAAAATTCGAGAAAAAAACGGTGTGTTTGTGTTTTTTTTTAAAGAACCAAAAGTCGAAAAAAAACTTCAAAATTTTCAGTCACACTTTTGCTCACAGTAACACTATTTCGAGCAGCCCTACTTTTGGTTTTATTTTAGGAAAACAGTAATGAGACTCAAATAAATAGCAGACAATAATTAAAGTTGTCATTTTCAAAAAAGAAGAGAAAAAAAAAAAAAAAAGCAAACTGCAATTCTTGGACCTCGAGCTGTCGTTTTTTGGGGACCATGTTTGTTGGAAGTACGCGCCTCGAACTAGGAAGGGCATCCTTCCTTTTGATTCCGCCCACTCGAAGGTAGTGAAAAGGGGCATAGCCAGTTCGTGCCTGGGGGCTTCCCTCAGAAAGTCGTATTTGCACAGTGCGCAAGGCAGCTTCGAGGGTCAGATAAAACGCCTGCAGACGGCTGGTTTTCCGTTGAGAGCTTTGGTTGAAGTGGCAGAAAGCTTAATCAAAAATATTAAAGGTAATCAGAAATCAAACAGCGATAGACCGACCACGAGGCCTGTTGTCATTCCATATACGCACAATGTCACGCAGAACCTGAAAAAGGTAGCCTAGTGCTACAATGTGCCGGTAGTTTTTTCAGCGCCCAATAAGATGGCGCGACTTTGTCGCCTGATCAATTCACCACAGCCATCGTTAGATCCCTGCACTACCAAACATCGAAATAAGTATGTCGAATGCGCCACTGGCGTCGTCTATGAAATCCCCATGACGTGTGGGATGACATATACGTGGGCCAGACGGGCAGGTGCGTTAATGATCGCACCCGAGAGCACGCTGCCTCTACAAGAACGACGCCTTCGGGGCACCTTGCAATTCATTGCAATAGATGCTCGTGCACCCCGGCCTTCAATGACACCAAGCTTTTTGCTAGGTGCAAAGATAAAGTGTCACGGGAATTACACGAGGCGTTTGAAATTAGGACCAGGGACAAGAATTGTATAAGTGACACGTCCCTATCTTTATCTACAAATGAGTTTGAATTTTTGAAACGCGGGCTAAGTAGATAAAGTAAATTTTTTTTTTTTTTTTTTGTGTGTGTGTGTGGCTCTATAACGTGTGAATTTTCAATAAACATCAGTTGAGAGTGCGCCTTGTCCTGTTTCCCTTCGTCTGTGTCCCTGTATTTTTTTGGCGCTTTTTGCTTGCAATGAACCAACTGGCCCAAATCTCCACTTTACTCAAATGCACAAGCTCTGTAACTCTTTGAAATGGCATTTATATATTTCGTTTCGTCGAAGTGGTAAATTTTCGGCGATTTTGATGATGTGTTTCACGCGCGCTTCAACACTTTCAAACACCTTACGTTGTGGAAATTGTCTGCTGCAACCAATTATGACCTATATTTATTACTACAAACCATCACACGGAACCGTAAAAAATTGTAGGAGAATTTTTTTTGTTGTTGTTGTTACATCAGAAGGCTGGACACGTAAAAGATATCAAAATTTCCATTCACAATTATGTTCTCACAATATCACATTTTGTGCAGTTCGGGTTTCGGTTTTGTTTTGCGAATACAAAGCGTACTTCAATGAAATCGCGGTCAGCAATCGCCATCGCCATTTTCATATGGCGTTGATCTAAACTATCTCAACCAACGTGTATCTATTCGGAGAACGCGCAACGTGAAGAGTTTCACAACATGGTTCGTCCGCAGTCTAGCGTTTTGGAAGCACTATACAGTCTTACAAACGTCGAACGCGGGAAAAAAAACAAGCAGCATGTAAGTACTGCCAAGTGCCCCGCGGATTTCCGAATGCTACACGCCTTACAAGGCATCTGCTGTCGTGCAAGAAGTGTCCTCAAGACGTCAAGGAGGCGTGTGCAAAAGAACATGGAAAAACTCCCCCTGGGAGCTCAGCAGTGCACACATCAAGTGAGTCCGAGGCTAGCCGACGCGCAGCGGAATCTACGTCGTCAAAAAAATGCGCGAGTATTTCTTCGTTTGTTGACAAAATAACCCCTGCGCTTCAAAGCCAAATTGACGCAGCTTTGGCTAGGGCGATGTACTCAGCCAACACGCCATTTTTCTTAGCAGAAAACGAGCATTGGCAAGCGGCCTTCGAGATGCTTCGACCATCGTACACACCGCCTAGCCGATACCTACTGAGCGGGCCTCTACTTGACGCAGAGTATGAGCGCGTGAAAAGTCATGTGGAGGAAACTTTGAAAGACGCTACGTCCCTCACACTGCTGACTGATGGGTGGACCAACATTCGAGGGGAATCGGTCCTAAACTTTGTCGTAGCTACGCCGCAGCCAGTGTCCTACAGGTCAATCGAAACAGGCACAATCCGGCACACTGCGTCTTATATCAGCGGCGAAATATGTGATGTCATTGATGCCCTCGAAAGTGAAAGGGTAGTGGCACTGGTCACGGACAACGCTAGCAACATGCAAGCGGCATGTCAAATGGTTACATGCAAATTTCCCCACATCGCAACGATCGGATGTGCTGCTTACGAGCTGAATCTGCTCCTGAATGATCTCATGAGGCTAAAAACCTTGGAGAAGGTTCATCAGACATCCAGAGAAGTGATCAAGTATGTGAAGCAGACTCACGTAGTTGCTGCCACGTTCCAACAAAAGCAAGAGTCCAGGGATGGCAAAGGAAGTTTCACGACCCTCAAGCTGCCCAGCAAGACAAGATGGGGCGGCGTTACCCTCTTACTTCAAAGTTTGCTCAGGAACAAAGAAGCTCTGCAAGAGACCGTGATCTTGGAAGATCTGAAAGTAAACAAATCGGTGCGGCAAGCCGTCTTGGACGAGGACGGATTCTGGAAACCCTTGAGCAGCTGTTTGGAACTGGTGACACCCATTTCCTCAGCCATTACAGAATTGGAGTCGGACTAGGCTTTGCTGTCGGACGTTCCGGAAGTTCTCCATTCCATGAAAACCGAAGTAATCACGAAGCTCGCGACCAGCACTTTAACAGACCAGGAGAAGGCTCGCGCAAAAGAGATCCTGAGCAGGCGCGGCGAGTTTTGCTTGCGACCCATTCAAGTCGCTGCTAAATTGCTGGATGCAAGATATAGGGGGAGGAACCTTGATGACGCACAGTTTGCAGACACATTTGACTGGATCTCCAAGCAGGCTGAGCACCTTTCGCTTGACATCGGGAAGCTGCTCTCTAACCTCGCAGAATATAGGGCGCCTACAGGGATTTGGTCCAGGGCAGCACTTTGGGAGTCTGCGAAGCACGTGGAAGCATCCACCTGGTGGCAAGGACTCTACACTAACCAGCCATTGACACCCCTGGCATGTCGGCTTTTACAGATTCCCCCATCGCCTGCAACGTGTGAACGAAACTGGTCTCAGTTTGGGAATGTACACACAAAACTGCGCAACCGGCTTGCAGGTGAACGCGTGAAAAAACTTGTGAATGTGCACTCGAATCTGAACCTGAAAAAAATCTTCGACCGACGTGAACGCGAGTGTTCCCCTATCCAGCGATTGCGACTCGGAATAGCAAGTGCTCGGGGACATATGCAACGCTGTTTAGTCTTACCAAAATATGGTATTTCTGCTTGGTAAGCTGTTGATATTACATCCAACTTAATTTGAACTATTTCAGATATTGAAACTTCCCAAATGGTCCTGCGTTATCATATTGTGTTGATGTAATAAATGTGTCCACGCAGCAATCTCAATTTCTTTTTTCAAAATTGCCAATTTTTCCTAAAAAAAACATGAAAAAAAAAGTTTTTTCTTTTTCGGGCCATTCAATATTTCACGAAATTTTACATCTCTAGTACAGACTCGTCGTTTGTTAACCACAGGCTGCGTCTAAATTTAGCCGAAGAGTTTCGAAAACATCGTCTGGCCCCTAAAAACGATCGTGACGCATACTCCGATTATTCCACCGCGTTTTCAGACATCCACTGATCAGTACATCGCACGACGAGTTTGCACGACTGCTAAATTTCGAACGCGAATGAGAAGTCAGCTAACCGAGACAAGTTACGTGGTACCGCAATCATTTAACGAAGAAACGTTTCTGTGCGGCCTTGTTTACAAACCATACCGCAGCGCACTATTAGCCCCGAACGGGACCGAGCTGCGATCATTCAATGGTGACGTAGGAGAACAGTATCACTTGACGCGGCAAGGTATTTTCTTCACTTTGCTTTGGTCATGGCATTTAACGCGTAGCAGCAGAATGCGTCTGATAAGTATATTTTGCTTTTGCCATGACGCAAAACGTGCGTACGACAAAATCTAAAAAAAAAAAAAAAAAAAAAAAAAAAAAGGTAGGTTACGATGGAATCGTACGCGATGGGTCATGGCCGCCAGCACCGCTCGGGTACTTTGCCATGGAGACCAACGAGTACACTCCAGCGGGCTCTTCACGTGCTTCCCAACTCCAAGCAGGAGAAAAAAAAAGAAAACGTACTGGAAATTACAATTATTGGTGAAGGCCTCTTGATCCACGGATTCCGGAAGCAACGACCAAGATCCCACCGACTAGAGCTGCAGCAGCCGTACCAACAGCCGAGCAAGGCGCTCGTCACTGGCTCCTAAGCTGCCTCGTTGATAAAAATAAAAAATAAAAAAATGTTCAGATTTTGTTTTTTGTATGAATAGCTCGAAGCTCGAAAAAATAAGCTGCAGAACAGTCTGACGGGTCTCCGGCAGCTCTCGGTCTGAC